TTAACATACTCACCTGTATTTTCTAAGAGAATTTTGTACTTCACAGGTCCTTGTTGTAACAATGTTGTGAAGCAAATTTGCACAACCACACAATTCTGATTTAAGTACAAGCATGGCATAGATGGGACTTTTCTTTTTGTCCTCTTTAAAATCCATGGATTTATTAAGTACTTTCTTTTTAAAAAAGATTTATTTTTATTGGAAAGTCAGACATATATAGAGAGGAGGAGAGACAGAGAGGAAGATCTTCTGTCCGATGATTCACTCCCCAAGTGACTGCAATAGCCGGTGCTGCGCTCAATCCAAAGCCAGGAGCCAGGAACTCTTCTGGGTCTCCCACGTGGGTACAAGGTCCCAAGGCTTTGGGCCATCCTCTACTGCCTTTCCAGGCCACAAGCAGGAAGCTGGATGGGAAGCAGGGTGCTGGGATTAGAACTGGTGTCCTTATGGGATAGTGGTGCATTCACTGCTAGGCCACTGTGCCAGGCGTTATTAAGCACTTTCATTGGAAAGTTTTCATTTGAAAGTGGCTAGGCGTTGTCTTTTTTCCTGTAGCTTTTTTGGATACATCTGTCTTCAGAATTACTGCTGACCCTATCAGAAAAAGCTGCCTCTTGTGCTGTCTGTGAGGATGCTGTGGTTTCTCCCAGTACTTATCAACTGACATCTGCTCTACTGTTCCTCTGGGTGTGGCAGCATTTGTCTTTGCACTCACAAGTTCAAACACTTTTGGATCTCATTTCCTTTTGTATTTAAGAATCTGAAAACAGTGTATGCGGAGCCTATGTGTTTCAATGATGTTGAACAACTCCTTTGATTTTGGTTCATACCTTAAACCTCACAGAACCTTACCAAGGACTGGGCTTTGGAATCATTTCAGTTAGAATCTGTACTACTATTACTACTGTGAATGATAATACAGTGCTTCATAGACCCGTGTCACTTACCACTCGTTGTTAAATCTAGATGTCTTAGTCAAAAGAGGAAGATACCAGCATGATCTTGGCATTGTAGGTCATTGGAAGGGATCGTCACAGCGATCACATTGAGAGCATGTAACAATACTGGAAAATTGCGAGCAGAAATGATTAACCTTTAAAATTTATGTTCTGCAAATGTTTCCACGAGTCATTGGATTGCAGATACTAAAGAGAATCACAGTAATGTTACCAACTCAAGGATTAATGTTTCTAATCTCTCTCTACCAAATAATACAGAGTTTCTCTTCTCCGGCAGTTTTCAAGGTCCTCAGGGGATGCCTGAGTTATGCTCACAAACAAGTCTGTTTCTACCGAGTACAGCTGCTGCTGCGCCAGGCACTTAAGTCTTGCCAGATGGTACTCTGCTGGGCATTTCTACCAGTGTTCTGTATCAGCTGCTTGATAAGATGGGGTGAAGTGAGGCAATAACATTCTCTGTGTTATTGTCTCTTAAAGGAGTGCTAAAGTATTGCTGTTTTTTTTTTACCACTTTTAAAAAATAGTTCTTCAGATTTTTGTCATGGCCTCTTTGCACTTCAGTGGATGTAGGAATTGAATCGATGGGGATTATCTGTTGGGAGGCAAATTTAGTATCAGAAATCTAACATTCCCACTCTTTTGATACCAGAATTTATTATCTGCTGAGGGTCATCATGGTTAACTGCCTCGTATAGGATTAGTTTTCACATTCCTGATGAGTTGATGATATTAGTTCCCAAATGTTTGAAAAGATGTCAAAGTCCTACTTGCACATAGCTGATGACTCCTTGATTCTCTATGCTTATCTTTAACATTCTCTACATTAAATCCCTTTGTTTATCCCAAGCCAAAGGAAATGTTTTTAAAACCTATAATTATGTTTTGCAATGTGACTACATCTGTGTAAATAGGATCAGCAAAGGCCTCATCTTACTCTAAGGAAACATTGAAGTCGTGTCCATTCTTTTCACATGACATTTGTGCCTGTATTAGTTTCTGTGCTCCAGAGGAACAGGCCAATTCTGCATATGCATACATGTATGCATACACATACATGAACTTCTACAGAATTCATGGAAAATGTATGTAAACATGAGCTTGTTTCAGTGCAAAATTTGAAATCCATGCATAGTTTTTACATAATATGCATTTTCATAAAGCTACTGAGGACTCCTCATATGCATATGTTTTGCACCAAATGCACTTGGTTTTAAAATTCAGTTTCGGGCCCGGCACGGTGGCGCAAGTGGTTAAGGTCCTCGCCTTGCATGCCCGGGATCTCATATGGGTGCTGGTTCTATCCTGGCAGCCCCGCTTCCCATCCAGCTCCCTGCCTGTGGCCCGGGAAAACAGTCGAGGACAGCCCAAAGCTTTGGGACCCTGAACCTGCATCTGTGTGGGAGACCTGGAAGAAGTTCCTGGCTCCTGGCTTCGGATTGGCATAGCATCGGCCGTTGTGCTCACTTGGGGAGTAAACCATCGGATGGAAGATCTTCCTTTCTATCTCTCCTCCTCTCCATATATCTGACTTTGTAATAAAAATAAATAAATCTTTAAAAACATTCAGTTTCATGTTTTTAGGTTTTGGGAGTGTGTCTCTGTGTGTGTATGTGTCTCTATGTGGGAGAGGGCGTTAGTAATGGGAGTTGGCTCAGAGGCTGAGAAGTTCCGTGTCAGACCATTTGCAGTCTGGAGAACGGGAAAGCGGTAGCATAGGTCAGTCCAGCTCCGAAGGCCTCAGAACCTTGGGAACTGATAGTGTAACTCTTAGTCTGAGGACAGAAGCCTGACAACGCCTGGAGGCATGACTGGCAGTGGAGGGGGAAGATATGGATGTGTTTCTCACAAACTAAAGGTTAGAGAACCTGCAGTTATAATCTGATGTTCAGGAATAGTAGAGGATGTCTCAGCTCCAGAGAAGAGTGTGAATTTTCTTTTCATCTGATTGTGTTTTACTTTGCCCTTGACTGGCTGAGTAGTGCTTAGCCACAGTGCATAGAAGTGATTCTCATTCATTCCACTAATTTAAATTTATCTCTTCTGGAAGTATCTTCCCAAATATATCCTGAAATAATGTTTTACCACCTATCAGGTATTTTTTGCCTCAACTTAGTGGGCACTTGAAACAAACGAGCACAATCTCTAGTTAGTTTTTTCAGATCTTAGGGAGTGTAGGAGTCTGTTTATTTGGTTTATGTTTCATAATGTGAGAGGCCTACTTGTTAGTAGTAAGATCAAGAAAGTAGAAGTTATCACAGAATAGGGAATTTTTGTGCAGTACCGACCTCTTTTTGGATTTTTTTTGGAGCTTCCCAAAGCTTTCTGGCATGGTCTCTCTCTAACTCGATGTGGCCTTCTACTTTCCCCTGCAGAGTCTGGGTTTCTCTTCAGTTTCTGTCTTTCTGGAGGATGTTAGTAGAGTTCATCCAAGACAGTTTTCATATGTAGTCAAATCCTTTTCTAGTTATTGACCCTGCTATACTGTATTTTCTACAATCCATAAAGTTTCTGAGGTATGAATGAAATCTTAATAGTGAGAATTTGTGTCTTTTATATTATTCTTTTTAATCACAAATATTATAATAGATTGTATTAATATTTCTTATAGTGGTCATTGAGAGAAGTTATTTCCACAGCTCTGAAATAGTAATAGCCACTCAGACCATATGCATACTTTTTTATGCAGTTAAGCTATATGTTAGGGGGATTTTATTCAATATAATTTTGTTTTTTTACATATGGACTGAAGTATCTTTGTATATTATTTTTAATAAATCATACTTTAAAACTGTTATTTTATTAATTTAAAATGTAAAACTAGAGTTTCTCTTCCATCAGATTGCTCAATTAAGAATATTTATTATAATTATTATTTTTACCTCGATGTGGATTATGCTTACTGATTCTGTAAGTTAAGGGATGTGTAAGAGGAGTGTAGTGGAGACTGATATATTCAGATATGAAGACAAAGTGCCGTATATCTCTATGCATACAGCATAGAGATGGACTCCCAGTGAAAGAATTGACACTGTCCGAGCAGTAAGAGGATGGACTCTCTGACAATGTCCAACACGATGGACTTGTGACTGTTCATGAGGGACATCCAGTGTAAAACTACAGGGGATATCAGTGTGGTATGGGAAGGGATCTTGGGGAAGGGCACAGGCAACCCCAGAACCTGTGAAACTATATTATAACACAAAATAAAATGTTTTTTAAAAAAGAAATAAATAGATAATAGAAAAAGAGACTATTTTAGGTGCAAAGAATTAATTTCAGAAACTATGGCTGTTGTGTTAAAACTTTATTAATTTTAATTAATGATGAAGTCAGTTGCTTTAATTCCTTATGGTTCATGCATAGTTTTGATATTTATTATAGTAAATATAAAGCAAAGAAAATGGTTAGTTTATCCTGCCACAAGTAATTTATTTGACATTAAAGGATGATTCTTTCCTTAAGTATCAATAAGAAAATGAACTAGGATAGTGTTTAATTTATTGCTCACTATTGTACTCTGTAAAATTTTCATGAATGTTTTTATTTTTGTTTGTAAATGAGTTATTTTCTGGGATGCAGATTTATGAAAGAGAGAGAGAGATGTAGAGATACATAGATCTGGAGATAGAGAGAGAGAAAGAGAGAGAGAGAGATGTGGATAGAGAGATGGAGAAATCTTCCATCAATCATTCACTCTCCATTGATCAATCACTCTCCAAATGGCCATAATGATTGCAGCTGGGCTGGTCTGGAGCCAGGAGCCAGGAGCTTCTTACAGTCTTCCATGTGGGTTCAAGGACGCAAGCAGTTGAGCCATCTGCTGCTTTGCCAGGCACATTAGCAGGTTGCTGGATAGGAAGGGGAAACAGTCAGGAATTGAACTGGTGCCCATATGGGAGGCTGGTGCTATAGGTTGCAGTTTTACCCATTATGCCACAATGCCAGTCTCCCCTTGCATTTACAGTTAGACTCAAGTAAACGTAATTTCCTGATTTAGTTAAACCAGGTCTCATCTCCATCTGTCTCTTCATTATGTTTTAGGATGTTTCTGATGCGACTTTGAAATACAAGGGTGTACATTTTGGCAACTCTTCAGGAAGACGAGAGCTACCTACAAAGTCTGGCCCTGGTCCAGGACAGTATGATATAGTCCAGTAAGTTTAAAGGAAGTACTATGATTTTGATGTCATTCTTGACCATAAAATATTTTAAGAATTCAGATTAATGCTGTTTTTTTCAGAAAAAGGAAAAACTGAAAATCTGGAGGAAATATTGTTTGTTGGAGTAACATTAATATAAAAGTGATTGCTTTGTAAAATGACCCAAGAACTTCATATGCCACTTACTTTTTTCCCTTAAAAGATCTATTGTTTTTGAAAAATTTATTTGTCATGATGTTTACATAGTTGATTAGGGTGGGAGGGGTCGAGATTTAGGGGAAAATGGGTAAGACCATTGTTTTTTTTTTTAATTACATTGCATTATGTGACACAGTTTTTTTAGGCACTGGGATTCCCCCTTCCCTTTCCCAAACCCTCCCCCTATGGTAGATTCCTCCACCTTGCTGCATTGCCACAGTTCAAGTTCAATTGAGGTTCTTTCATTGCAAGCATATACCAAGCATAGAGTCCAGCATCTTATTGTCCAGATAAGTTCAACTGCTTCTTGTGGAGACCATCTCTGAAGACCATTGTTTTTAAAGTTTCTTTTTGTTCTTCCTGTATCTGGGGCATAGGGGCAGATATGGGGAGAAGCCACACCCAGCCTCCCAACTGCTTCAGTAACGGGGGTAACCGGGGATGGGCCATCCAGTGTCATCCCAGGGTCCCCATTGTAGAGCATGTTCTCAGGGTTCTGCTCAAGTGGTTTCAATAGTTCTGAAATACTGTTGATATTGCCACTCCAAGGATAAGGAAATCCTTCTAAGTTCCTTTAGGTAACATAGTCCACTAGCCCTGGTTCTTGTGCTTGCTGATGTGTGCAGCAGATTGTTTCAGTCTGTCCCACATCTATTCAAGGCTTGTATATATCAATGGGCATGGTAGCCTGGCTCAACCCAACCGATCCCACTATCCAGCCCACACTCATGCTGGTGGGTGCCACCACCTGTCTAGTCAGTACTGTTCCCAGCCCTGCTTCTCATGTTCACTGGTGGGAGTTGCAGTCCATCAGAGAGGTGCCCACAGTTTCCTACTGGGCTACTCCCAGTTTTGGATCTTGCACTGTACAGTTTGACAGGATTTGCTCCCAGTCATAGCACTTGCCAGTTGATGCTATGGCAAAGCCCAAGCAGCCTGTACTTCCTCTAGTCTAAGCATGTACCAGTTGGTACCAGTTGATAGAGTCAGTTAGGCCAAGCTAACTCTCCCCCAACCTAGTTTTCATGAGGTCAGTACATATTGTAGCCCTGTCCAGCCTGGTCTGTCCTTGGTCGAAGTTCTCATGCTCACTAGTGGGAGCAATAGCTCAGAGGTGAGCGCCCTGCAGCCCCCCTACTGGACTCAAACCACTGCCTGCCCAAGTCTCATGTGTGCTGATGGGTGCTGTGGCCCAGTCTTGCATGGTCTGCCTCCCCTTTGCATTGTCTGGTGGGTGCTTTATCCTGTCCTGGCCCGTCTGCCTCCACTTTCAGTTTTTGTTGGCAGCGTATAACAAGTTTACATGTTATACCCCATTTAGTCTTTTTTTTTTTAAAGATTTATTTTGTTTATTTTTATTACAAAGTCAGATATACAGAGAGGAGAAGAGACAGAGAAGAAGATCCTCCGTTTGATGATTCACTCCCCAAGTGAGCACAACAGGCTGGTGCTGTGCAGCTCCGGAGCCAGGAGCCAGGCACTTCCTCCGGGTATCCCACTCAGGCGCAGGGTCCCAAGGCTTTGGGCCGTCTGCGACTGCAGGGAGCTGGATGGGAAGTGGGGCCGCCTGGATTAGAACCGGCGCCCATATGGGATCCCAGGCTTGCAAGGCGAGGACCTTAACCACTGCGCCACCATGCCAGGCCCCCCATTTAGTCTTAATAGCAGTGCTCTGTGTAGTACAATTGCAGTAACTGTTTTATTTATGAAAAATCCAACAATTTGGAGAGGATAAATTAAACATTTAAGACTTTGTGTGTAGTAAGTGGCAGAGGCAAATTGTAGCTGAGGCCTTTTTGAGAACACAGTTTATTTATTTAAGTAGTAAAATCTGTAATATCTGAGGGTCTACCAAAAATGTATCCATCGTTGTCAACCAAAATGATGTTGGAAGTAATATTTATGAAGCTTAATTGCTTAATAAATTTCTCATAAAATAACTCTGCACTTTTTTTCCTACTTGGTAGTAAAGGCTAACATATGAATCCAAGGAAGACTAAGAAATATCTTACCTTCCTCATAATCTGTTACTTTTTTTCATGATTGATTTTTTAACATAGTCCATCTCATCTGCCTGATGTATTTTTTCTGTTTCTAAGTTCAAAAGTGACCATATACTCAATCCATTTGCCAGACAAATTGTGACATATTCATCCAGCAGGGATAGGTTCTTGCTCTGGCTGCCTTGCTACAGTTGATTCACTGAACAAGAGTTTGAATTATTGCTATGTGCCAGTACCTTTAGAATAAAAGGTATAAAATAAAACCATGTTTTGAGAATTATATACTCTGATCCATTATTCCTTTTATTTTTCAGTCTTCTGACATGAAATATATGCTTTTGTGTCTTTGAATTCTTTCTATAGTTGTTCTAAACTTAACACACATATTTAGCATAAAGGTTGTATTTACATCATTAATAATTTTCCCAAGCAAGAAACACCTATAGAATAAGTCTATAGAATACTCTGTGATGATTTCTGTTTTGACATGCTTCTGTTCATAAGTTTTAAATAATTATGAAAAGATTTCTTTGCTCACTTGAAAATCAAAAAGAGAGCAAGAATGAGAGCAATAAAGGGAGAGAAAAATCTTCCTGCTGCCTGGTCCACTCTCCAGATGCTTTCCGTCAACCTGCAGGATCAGATCAAACTGAAGCTAGAAGCCCAGTTCCCAACCCATTGCTGAAATGACAGGACCAGATTACCACCCATTCATATTAACTCTGAATGTAAATGCCTTAAGCTCATCAATCAACCATCATAAATTGGTAGACTGTATTAAAAAAACAAAGCCATCTATGTATTGCCTGTAGGAGACATATCTCACCAACAAAGACCATGGATTTTGATTTTTTTAAAAATTTAGTTTCATCTCTTCGAAATATTTTCTTTCTCATTAAATTCTTCACTGACTCAGATCATACAGTAGCATCATTTTCTTCAAGAAGGTTCCTGATTTTCTTTTTCAGTTTTTTCAGTGATGCATTAGTCATTCTGTAGCATGCTATTTAACTTTGTGGCATTTTTAATTTCTTCTTTTCTTTCTGTTGTTTTTTCTTCCTGGCTTTTCATTTAAGGGGATGTACAGTCACTGTGTGATAGAGACTATCATATCCAGTAGTATGTTATTTAACCTCATAGTATTGTAATTTTCTATTTTTCTTCCTGTTGATTTTGTCCATGCCCACAATGATGGGTATATGATTATTTTTGAAGAATTATATTATAGTAATCGTATAGGGGAAGAACTCAGTGTGTGTGTGGGGGAGCAGATTTGGGGAAGAGAAAAGGGAAAACCCAGTGCCTATGAAACAGTTTCATAATAATCATCATAATAAAAAGTAAAATCAATCAATCAATTAATTAACAACTCCATTAAAAAAGAAAAGAAAAGAAGTCCAGTTCAGCTCGGTCTCCTACACTGGGAGCAGCATCCTAAGCAATTGGGTCATCATCTGTTGCCTCCCAAGGACATTAGCTAGAAGCTGCATAGGAGGCAGAGGGGCAGTCACGGGTTTATAGGATATGTGTATCCCAAGTGGTGGCTTACCCTGTTGAGCCTTTAGGCCTGCCATGTGCTGTGCAGTATTTTAATCCTGCCTTTTTCTTCTTCCAGATTGCTTGGCTTATTTTTTTCTCTCTTGTTCTTTCGATCAAATTCTCTCTCATCAATTTTGTTGAATAACATACAGCAAAATGTGTCTTTTTAAAGGTATTTCATTTGAGGGTGATTGTTTTGCATCCATTTCACTGCATTTCAGTGAACTACAGGCATACCAAGACTCTTACCTAATCAGCTTTATCTCTGAGTTTACTTAGTTGTTTTACTTATCAGTTCCTTTTATATTGCTTACTGATGTCCTACTCAGTCTCTCCCTGTTTTGATACTATTGCTTTCCTTGATTTTCCTGATTTTTCTTTTCTCCTCTTGTTTCATTTGTATTTTTACATTGTCTTAAACAAATTCACATAGATTGCATTCCTAATTTCTTCAGTTAATTTTCCAAATTTTAGTAATTTGTTTGCTGTTTCATTTGGCTGCCCTCACTACTTTCCATTTGGACTTGTTTTAGTTCCTTGTGGAAGTTGATATTTTGTGTTGATTTTTTAAAAAAAATTTTGGATGTTTTGTTTTATTGGATAAGTCAGAGTTATTCCTGGGACCCTCTGGAAAGGATCTTAACTTGTGATTCTGAGCACTCTCATGACTGTGAAGGTGGCTGGAATTGACCCCTAGATTCATCATTCCCAGCTAAAGAAGGTCACATCTGACCCAGAAAAAAAATAGACTGTTCAACACACTGGAGTACCCTTAAAGATAAGACTCTGTGGTTCTGTCATGATGCTTACAAATGGGAACTCTGGGATACAGGCATTAGGAATTTAAACTCCAGGACCCTGCCGGTGTTTTGTACTACATGTGACTGAGTCAATGATTTGACTCAGGTGTTAAGAAGAGAAGTGGGGAGTGTTATGGGGTGCAGCCAGTGATAGCCAGCACCTATTGACAGTGGGCAAATGGAATGTGGCTGTGTCCCCTATCCTCTGTCCTGAAGGTGGGTCCTAACAGCAATGGAGTGATAATTCCATCCTCAGCCACTTCCCCCACGTCCTAATTTAGCCAGAATATTGGATACAGATGAGTCCAATTAATCTGGGTGTTTTTAGCTGCTAGCCCAGTTCCTGTTCCTGCCCGTCCCAATGAGCACTAATCAACTCCTTAACCCACAACACTTAGGTGAGTCCCAGGTGGGTAGGAGTGAATACCTATCAGCTGAGGGGAGGGGGGTATTGCATTATTGTGTAACCACTCCCCTCACAAGTCCCTTTAAAAGGCCCTTGAAGCAGGGGCTCTTGCTCTCTTTCTGGCCAGGTTACTCTGGCGCCTTGACTCTTGGCTGACCAAGGACAGGTAATCCCCTGAGCATGGTCCCTTGCCGGAGTCCAGCTCCAGCCGAGTTCGGAGCTCGGGAATGGTGCGTGGAGTTGGCGATAAAGAAAGACACAGACACTTGATGCGTTCTCACAACAACTCAGGAAAAGCTGTCTTTTTTATTTACTCAAAAACCTTCTCGGGCCTGGCGCGGTGGCGCAAGTGGTTAAAGGTCCTCACCTTGCACGCCCGGGATCCCATATGGGCGCCGGTTCTAATCCCGGCAGCCCCGCTTCCCTTCCAGCTCCCTGCCTGTGGCCTGGGAAAGCAGTCGAGGACGGCCCAAAGCTTTGGGAACCTGCACCCGCGTGGGAGACCCGGAAGAGGCTCCTGGCTTCGGATCAGCATAGTATCGGCCCGTTGCGCTCACTTGGGGAGTGAATCATCGGACGGAAGATCTTCCTCTCTGTCTCTCCTCTCTGTATATCTGCCTTTCCAATGAAAAAAAATAATAAAAATAAATCTTTAAAAAAAAAAACCTTCTCAAGCTTCTACACAAGCAACTAATTGTTCTATTTTTTTACTTCAAGACTAGGGGGGCCTGTACAGACTTTTGATCACTCTGTCTGCACTTCAAGGCTAAGCAGGTGCCCCTAAAGATAATTCTGCAAAATACTGTATTCATATTCTTCAAAGCAAGCTATTGTTTCTTCAACAGTAGCCATGGAGCAACAGCCAGGACTCCAAGGCCAAGGCACATGCGATTATCTGCTAATCAGTAGTACTTTCCCACCACATTTTTACTTCTACAATTTACCCATCATTTAATGGGAAAATAAGTTACAAGGGAAAAAAACCTAAAATCTAAAACAGAAACTTCAAATGTTAAAATCCCCCTACAACTATAGACTCCTACAACCCCATAAACAATAAAGCAATAATCAAAAGCATTTTTCTTTAATAAAAGCATCCTTAATTCCTCTAGCTAAAAATTATAAAAGCAGCTAAAACAATTACATTTTCTAGGCTCCAAAAAATTGCAAAGGCAGGCTAGCCTTTGAGACAACAATAACTATATTTATTGCCATAGCAGTTTCAGCTCTCACTCCTATCACTTGCATTAGTATTTAAGACATATATATCAAGCCTTTTCCCAGAGGGTGTGCTGTATGTCTGGGCCTGATTTCAGGGCAATGGGTAGGTACACAATAAGGTGTCCAGAAATGGCATGGGTTTAATTGTACTCCTGTGCACAGTTAAAGGCCCACTCACCAAGACATTATCATTGACACTAACTCTGAAGCTCACGTTGGTGATAAAAGCCATCCCACAGGGGCAAACAATGCCTCAATAGATTACAGAATTCTTAGTGGGGTGCTTAAGTGTCCATGCAAACAGGTGGTGAAACTGTGTCAAGGTGGTCAGAGAGAAATCTGCTGGGCCTTGCCTAACAGCTGGAAACTCCCCCGGGCCTTGCCACACAGGGGAGCTGTTCTCTTCACACCTTCATGCCATCCACACCCATTGCACGGACCCCAGCAGTCCCTGTGTACTGCTTTGATGGGACAATGGGTATAATAATGTTGTTTCTGGTTTGTGCGCTGTCATGAGTTCCAGGAAAGGTGAAACCTAGCAGTGAGGGAATGTGGGCAGAGAAGCCAGGGAAAGGTGAATGTCTGCAGCTTTGTAAGTGTGTCCAGGTTATTCGTTGCATGTCTCTTAGGATAACTTATATTGTTGGGGAAGATGGGACATAGGTCTTCAGCTTCTTGGATGGACTTAAGGATAATGCCCATTTGTTCCTTTTGAGATTATGTTTGGTTGGATTATAATTGGTTGGATTGCTGTATGGACTTTTGATTTGCTATTTTTAGTGTGCTCTATTATCACCAAGGTTGGTTAATAAAGACTCCTTAATAAAAAAAAAAGAGTTATTTGGGGAGATTTCAAAGATAAGTTTTTAAGTCTCATTTTTTGGGAGAGATACATAGAACTGACAAAACATTTTGGATAGCCCAAATATAATTTGTATCTATAAATCCATTTGAGATTTTGAAAATCAATTTGTTAAAAACTCTGTGAATTAAAGTCAGTAAGAAAGTGAACATTTAATGGTGAACTGAAAACATGTTTGTCATAGCACTGCTGAACAAAGAAAATAATGGCAATTATTTTATTACTTAAGCTTTTTGTTTTACATTTTATTGTTACCTTTTTTTAATCTTCTAATGTTTAGTATAGCTTTTGGGAATGATAGACGTCAGATTTCTTTTAAAATGGGTTTAAGACAGAAAAAATGTAATGAAGTCAGTGTAGACTGTTCAAATGCAATTCTTGTAATAATAATAGCTAAGAGTTATTGTGTATTTACTGTGGGTCCTGTATGGCACTAAGCAGTTCTCATATGGTATCTACGTTCATCTTGGCCACTTTGAATGATGGTAATTACTACCTCCAATAGAAGACAGATTTTGAAGCTTAGAAAAGCAGGTATCATATGTGGGATTTTTATCAATATGTGTTACTCAAAACCTAAGCTCTTAAGCACTGATTCTTTGGTTTCCAATTTGTTCTTGAGTTTGTCAAATTTCAATTAAATAGTTTGCTTTCAGTTTTCTTTGAGTTCTTTCCTGATGACTTTAGGATATACATGCTTCAACCCTGTTCTGCCTGACCTTATTTTACTAATAGTTTTAGAATTTATAGGAGAGGAGAGAAAAATGGATTGATAAATGATAGAGTAAACTCTCAAACCATTAGTGCTCACTCCCAAAATGTCTACAGTGGCAGGGGATGAGGGAAGCTGCAAAGCCAGAAACTCAGCCCAAGTAATTTTGTTTAGGCCAAAGATATTACCTGGATGTAGATTTTAAATACGGTTTAAATGATAAATAGAATACATAAGAAACTTTTGTTTGGGCTAACTTTTTAAGTGTAGTCATGATGTAAATCCCACATTGTATTTATCTTTGGAGCATTATAGTAGATCTGTGATAATTTCTGGATTGAGATAAATAGAACCAATTTATCTAAATAGAAATTTAATAAAAATTTGAATATATTGATCTAGTGTCTAAAACATCGTTTTATCATGTACTTTTAGGAAAATTTTTTGTTTGAAAATCAGAGTTCCCTAGAGAGAGGGAGACACATGAGGAAGAGGGAAACTTCATGCTCTGATTCATTTTCTGGGGCTCGGCCAGGCTGAAGCTAGAAACCATGAGCTTCCTCCAGGATTCCCATGTGGATGGCAGGGGTCCAGACAATTCCTGGCCATTAGCAAGGAGCTGGATCGGGATTGAGGAGCCGAGACAGGAGAACTAGTAACCATATGAAATGCTGTACTGAAGGTGGCATATCAGTATGCCAAAATGATGTCCCCTACTATGTACTCTCAAAGCAGAAGATATTGCTATAAAAATGTTTTTTTGTTGCTCATGTAAATATTTATGTATTTTAGATTGATAACTCAATTTTTATTTGAATTTACTAAAGGGAAAAGACTTTATGCTGTGAAAACATTAACATCAAGAAAGATAAACAACACAATTATTGCTCATCTATCCCACGGTTTTATGAGGTATTAGCATTACAAGAAGAGAAAAAGGTAAGTGGTAAAATAATTGGTGTATTTTCTGGATTTTAAGATGAATGCATCCATGATCACAGGGTTAGTCGATACTTGACCTTTGGTCGTATAGAACTTCCCAGTCCCAAGTGTTCTTATTAAAATGACAAGAAAGCCCCCCTTTAAAAAAAAAATTAAAATGTCCTTAAGGTGATCTTTTTTTGCTTCTTAAAAATTATTTAATTTTTATTGGAAAGTTGGATATACAGAGACAAGGAGAGACAGAGAGAAAGACTTTCCATCTGCTGATTCACTCCCTAAATGGTTGCAATTACTGATGCTGAGCTGATCCGAAGGCAGGAACCCAGAGCTTCTTCTGAGTTTCCCACTTGGGTGCAGGATCCCAAAGCTTTGGGCTATCCTCATCTGCCTTGCTAGGCCACAAGCAGGGAGCTGGATGGGAAGCCGGGCTGCCAGGAATTAGAACCAGTGCCCATATGGGATCCTGGTACATTCAAGGCGAGAACTTTAGTTGCCTGTGCTGGGTACAACAAAATAAAAATGTGGAAACAGCTGAATTAATTATTTAATGAAAACTTGAAGGAACTAAAACATGTTTTTAAAAGCATAACATTGTGTTATATATGTTCCATATTTATGTGGAAATAGTAAAATATTGGAATCTCTTTAGTTAACTTTTAGGAAAATAATTTTTGAAGCTGATAGTTTTTTATCTTCAATTATCTCTACTATTACTATTTTAGTTTACTCTGTATTCTTTTGCTTTTACAATTAGAAATCAAAATATTATATAATTATTATTGTATTATCCTATTATACATCATTAGTAACTTGGAAACAGGGAAACAACTGAATGTTAATAAATTGTACTACTTAAGATCTTAATATATTAAGGGCATAGTAGGAGAAAGATGAGGATGTTCTAAAAAGCTGATGATATCATGGATTCTTGATTTTTAAATGAACTATTCAGTTTACACGTGAACATTTCTTTAATTGGGAGAATTTTTAAGGATAGTTTACCACTAAGTAAGTCTATACTTTCTATATTTCTTAAAAATTGGTAGTTTATCCAGGGACTTGTTCATTGTTACTATATAATTTGACATTCTTTTAAAAATCATCTAGGTAGAAACATGTTTGATAACAATTTTAAGGTATAAAAACTTTCATAATTAAGGAAGACAATGTGAAATTAGTATTTTATGCTCTTACATGGTAAATATAACCTATTTTGTTATTACACTAGCAAATACCTCAGAATCGTTGTGTGACACTTTACATAACATCATCCTAAAACTAGAGATAATAATTCATTCCTTTATTCTGTAAAAAGGAAAAGGAATTACATTTTTTTGGCTGCTTGAAATATAGAGGCTTTGTTTTGTCAGTTCTTTGTTGTCAAAACGAGTGTTTGTTCTTAAAATATGAAAAGCTTTAATTTAAATTTTGAGTTAATAAGAAAAGGTGAACTTTCGTAAACTTAGGTATCTCAAATAATGCTAATTGGTAGTTTACCGATGATTATTATGACTTGAAATTATTCAGTTTAAATTATTTTGTTATATTCATGAACAAATGCTGATGCTGTATGCATGTGTCTGCATTTGTGGGTAAGTAAGCAAGAAGAAAAAGGCAGAGAGGACTCCCAGAGGTTGGAATTGAGAACTATGTCATTAGCTGTTCACTATGATGGACAGAGGATGAGTTCAGTTTAGACAATGGAATTTGGAGAAAAATTACTGCCAGATGGTCGGAATTGAGAATATAATTTGTAAAGCAAATTATGGCTAGAGATACAGAGCTAGTGGTTGGTCTTTTAAAGGTAGCAATTGAGGTAGTGAGGTGCCTCCAGAACAGGAAAGCAGAAACATTCAGAACAGATCTAGGAAGAATAATTAGATTTTAGAAATGAGGCTGTGAGGGATTTTGATTTCTCTATTTTTTTTTCTTTTTTTAGTTTCTTTTCTTTTGCCTTACCATGAACATGTAATATAATTTAATAGGAAAATTAAATTGCAAGAACATTTTCAAAAGAAGATATAGTTGCTAGAACAAGATTTTTTTTTTGGTTATTGAAAGGTAGTATGAAAGTGAGTGTTTCAAATATTGGGAGAACTGTTTAGCAGCAGGGGAATGTTGGATTTCACAGAATGAGGGAAATGGGGCATTGCATGTATGTGGGGTCTATTCTTTTTAGAACTTTGATGCAAAACAATAATAGAAATAGTTGGATAATAGACTTAGAGAATACTAGAATGGGGATATTATGTTTTTTGGAGAGATATATATTATTAGAGATGTTTAACGATGGAGTGCAAATTGAACTACTGCAAAAAAATACAGATGAGGTAACAGTATCTGTCCAGAATCATAATAAGCAAAGGGATTGAACACCCTGAAGAGCTGGTTTATATTAGAGAGCAAGAGAAAAATCTCTATGGAAAGAAAGAAAGAAAGAGTGATAAAACAAATTAAGGGTTAGACATGTTTCCTGTAATGAAGCAGGTAGTAAATAAATGTGTTGAGTTTCTGGGCCCCGTCATCTCTTTCATAAATGCTTATTTGGTTATCTTCTACAGGTTGGAAACATAAGCACAATATTTATAAGTTGTTTCAAATCATAAGAATAATAAACATAAGAATGGATATTATGTTGTCATTTTTCATGATATGGTTTTGTGCGTATAAGAATTTTCCCCTGCACATCCCTTTCTTCTATCCCCATCCTCCTCTGTCCCCACCATCTTCTCCCATATTATTAAAATAGTAATAGTCCTTCAGCAACAGTCACAAGTACAGCATTATTCTCTTTAACTTTATCATGGTACTGTGATTCTAGGCAATGGTACATAATCTAGTTTTATATTGTCAATATATTTAATGGTTTCATTGAGATTCTTCCTTATATTTTGGAGTAGAAGATTACAAAAAAATATGAAAGAATGTGAACTGACTGAAAAAAAGAGAATAAATCAAGTTCCACCTGGGAAGCTGGATAGGAAGTGGAATGCCTGAACTTGACATGATGCTCAAATATGGTATGCTAGCGTTGCAGGCTGTGACTTTGTCCACCCACAGTGTTGGCGTTATGCTGAATTACCAAAAAAAAGTACTTGTTTTAAAATCCCAAATTAAACTACAGTTTTCAGGAGAAAGGAACCTCAGATTTCATTTTTAAAATTTGTATGCCTGAACTTAGTAAAGTGAGGGAGATTTGTTTTTAGTAACAAAAGCACTTAAAATGAGCTTTAAAACTTAAAATTTAAAAATTTTAATTCAAATAAAGAATTCCTAAATTTTTCTTGCCATCCAACTTTCTCTATTTTCTTTGTAGTATACATTTAAAGGAGTAAAAAAAAATTTTTTTAAGCGTTGGTTATTTGGGACATAGTAAGTCTTGCAAACATTTTGGTCTTTTGAGAAACGTCTGTGCACACCCTTGTCAGTGGCCTGCATGCTAACTTTATTTGGATGAACATCTTGGTGGCTTTAGTAGCAAATTTTGCATCCTACCTTTTCCTCTGCCACTTTATAGCATCACGTTAGATAAATTGTTGAACATAATAGAAAAGATGCTTTGGGTTCTATCATTTTCATGGATTTATTGTTATCTTTGATTTATCCTCAAAAAACAATTAGCTCACACTTTTTGAGGTAATTACAGGATTTATATGTTCACAAAAGATAAGCATATAAGTAGATGACATCATAATTTGATATCCATTAAGTTGGAGGTTTCCATAAATGTAGAATATCAGCAGTCATCACTGGGGCTGTTTATTAATATTTATTAGAAAGCAAATAGTGAACAGGAAAATTACTCATTAAAATTCCACAATACTAAAACAATTAATTCCCTATCAGAAATGTGATAGTCATGTTTCAACTTCAGAGTCCTTTACATTAGATTGTATGTACTGTAATTTAAAAATCAAGAAGTGGGCTAAGCACCATAGCCTAGCGGCTAAAATCCTTGCCTTACATGCTCCAGGATCCCATATGGACACCGGTTCTAATCCTGGCAGCCTCACTTCCCATCCAGCTCCCTGCTTGTGGCCTGGGGAAGAAGATGAGGAAGACCCAAAGCTTTGGGACCCTGCACCCATGTGGTAGACCCGGAAGAAGCTCTGGGCTCCTAACTTTGAATCAGTTCAGCACCAGCCATTGCGGCTGCTTGAGGAGTGAATCAATAGACTGAATGAAGATCTTCCTCTTTGTCTCTCCTCATCTCTGTATATCTGCCTTTGTAATAAAAATAAATCTTTAAAAAAATCAAGAGCTATTTTGCCTTTGGTTAACCATTTTCAGATGTTATATATTAATATGTTTTCAAGAACAATACTATACTTGTGTATGTATATATTTATACTTTCAGTAAATATGGAAAATGTTAAAAAAATGTAGTAAAACAGTTCAATAGCAAAAATGATAATACATTTTAAAAACATTTATTTTCATTTTATGTGAACGATGCAGAAAGAATCAGAGTTAGAAACTACATGTGTGAAAGGAAGATAGACACAGAGAGAGAGGGAGTGTAAATTGTCTTGCATTTGCTTATTCACTTCTCAGTGTCTCAGTAACCCCCTTGTTGGGCCAGGTCAGACCCAGGAAACTGGAATTCCATCCACGTTTTCTACATGGTTGGCAGCGACACATCTGTGAACCATTATCTCCTGTCTTCTAGAGTGCACATTAGTAGGAAGTTGGAGCTGAAAGTGGGCTGAACCTTGAACTTAGATACTTTGCTTTGGGGTGAAAGGTGTCGCAAGTAGTGCTAAGTTACTGTGCCAACTGTCTGTTCCCAAACAATATGATACTTGAACTAGTGATTGTAGGCTTTGAAATTTACCATAGCTAAACTTTAGATATTTTTAACTATTTCAAATAAGAATTTTTGTTTCAAAATATATTTTGTATACCTATTGCATCTTCATTAGAATTTTTTATATTTCTGTTTAAAACACAAATTAGGAACTTTTATTTAACTTGAAGATTTTCTTCAAGTATATGTC